CAGTTCAGAGCAAAATTCCTCCTACACCCAATCAAAGTGTTCTGCTAATGCAGATCAGGCCTCAATAAACTCCCTGGAATTTCACCAGCGTGGCCCTTGCTTATACAGCTCTGGCTCAGTCAAACATTCAAATGAACGCTGAGTTTTAAGTGCCCACTTAATTGGTGCTGTTACCTCTCTTCAAGTTCTTTGCTTAATAAGGGCCAAAGTGTTAGACATAACATTCAGCACAAAAACCAAGCCTCTAGCATTTGTATTTGTTTCTGTGCCAATAAAAATCACTTTCCTAACATCAGTAAGTGAGAAAGAAATGCAAGATTTCCACAGACACCACCAGAACTGTTCAAAACTACTGACGCCACCGATGTGGATTTCAGAGTATCTGATAACATAAATTTCCTTTGCAAGACCCATTGTGGTCATAAGGAAAAGTCTGATACAATATCCTCTGCCAATTTCTAGCTTTGCTCTGTAGGTTTCATTTCAAATGACTGCATGCATCCCTGACAAAACATCTGTGTGAACACTGCAGACAGCGACGGGGAAACGCGCATTGACTGCCCGGCTGCCAAACGCGTTAATGGCAGTAGCTGAAAGCTGGAGTGGTGAATAAGCAGACAGAGGAGATCACAGGGCTCATTTTTCAATGGATTATCTGACACACAATGTCAACTGTACTTATGAATATCTGATGGTAAAAAACATTTTTGTGCCGTGGTTCCCATCTCGCGTACAGGGCTGTAATGAAGGAATAATTCTCCTGGAACAAATGTCATTACTGGGATGAGATCAGCTTCAATCCTTCAGGTTTCAGGCCAGCTCTGGTTGCTATCAGTGTTGAACTTTAATGAAGAAAAAACAAATGCAAAAATCCAAGTGGCATAGATACAAATTATATACATTTATTTTTACTCATTTTAAATAACATTCTTCTGTATAAATTCTGACATATATTCAAATCATACACTTTTTTTTTCTTTTAGAAATGCATTTGTAAGCATAGCATATGCTTAGGAGACGCCTCATTTGGATGTGTAGTAAGACTGATGGGTTTCAGGGAGCAAGTACAACTTTTAAGGCCCACATTTTTCTTATTTTAATCCATCCCTCTGACACATGAAGAGCAGAGTCCTGTGGGAGCTCGTTTTAAAACTTCACTTTAGAGAAACGTATTTTTAGGATTCAATCTTCTATCCTTTATTTAAAGGAGGCTGTGCAAACTTTCTGCCGCACTCCCATCGCAGGTAACGTTTGCGACAGAGATGCTGTGCAGCAGTGGTTAACCAGCCCAGGGTACCTGGAGGCTGCTGAATCCATCCTCTCGTCTCATCAACGGCTTCCAGCGTGCGGAGTTTGCTCAGCCTGCTCCAAGGGAATTATCACTGCAAGGGATGACATCTCCTGACAGCTCCCCAGGGCTAGCGCTCCACGCAGTTATTTCTAGCTACAGTGGCTCATAAGATTCGAGATCATTTATTCACATTAACCCAATCACTTTTTTTGCATTTCTGTTGCACTCTGTGCTTACCAAATGCTCTCCTAAATCGTACACCATCCAGGCTGCCCCGTGCCTTTGACACATCATTGCTTTTTGCCCTTTATCTGTTATATCCTCTTGCCTTCGGTTACTTGACCATGAAACTGAACTTGTCCCATCCAGACCAGCCGGGTCCACAAGGCCCTCAGGACCTCGAGGATCGTGCCTTGAGTGCTGGTTTCCCACATCCACCCAGCCTTCTCCTGCCTCGTCGTACCTTCTCAAAGCTCTACAGCTACCGTACCGTGCCACCGACTGCCTTTCTCCACAACGGCCACACCACTGCAGCCAGAGAGCGGCATTCCCAGTTCAAAGGTGAC